TTCATGAATGCTTTAAGATTGAGCACTTTTCATATAGCTGGGTGACTTGGGTCACGAGATACAGACCAAAACGTGGACCCGGGTAAACTTAGGCTGTATTTGTTTAATATCGGCATAAAATGAAAGCTGTTATGTCAAAAGTATGCGGAAGCAAATAAAAAAAAAATTAAAAAATTCATGAATACCGTTTTAGTGAAAAATAAAATTGAGTAATGCGGACAGTTCTTTAATCTTCTTTAATATAAAAATTAATATAAAAATAAGTAGGGTTTTCCTTCCTGACGCTATAACTCCAGAACGCACGAACCGATTTTCACGGTTTTGCATTCGTTGGAGGTTTATAGCTAGGAAAATTCAGGAAAAATTTCAATAGAAAAGTATATGGTGTGTGAGTATCCCCCACGAAAATAAGTATGTTTCATTTAAAGTAGATGGTGCCATTGTTTAACAGCTATTCATTGTACTTTGCTCAGTTAATTTCATGTGACACTAGCGAATACCCGGCGTGCTTCGCTGCGCCTTAAAAGTAATTTTGTTTTGTTACTCCCTCTCACAACATTTGAAAATATTATTTAATATTGCTGTACATATTTGTATAGTAGGGAGATTTTTTCAAATTATATAAATATACGTTATTTGAATATTGAATCAATACACGTTTGAGGAAAGGGTGCGATAGTAGACTCCAGTTATAAGATTATAAATTAAATTTCCAAGAGAAAGTCGGTTCTTTACATATTTTCTAATTACCTTCGAAAATATATTAACTCAAAAAAAAAATAAACAATGCTTCATAGATCGATTTTTTTAAATCTAACTTCATAAAGTTCTTTAAAAATATTTTGTAAATGAGGCCATAAGAGCTTAGGGGGAGAGTTACAACACAAAAATACATTTAAGGCGCAGCGAAGCACGCCGGGTAATTGCTAGTTTCATATAACTTCGAAATTCTACATTTCGAGCAGGTGGCAACCTTCTTCAAAATATATTCAAACTATTACTTTCTGAAACCCCTTCCGTTTGACACCCATATGGTGATACATACATCTCTGACCTAATTCCCTTAATTCAAATTGAATTGGATTTTTCAAACAGGTGGCAACCTCAACATAGTTAAGTTAGGAAAGAAAGCTTTTCAAAACCATTTCGATGGATACCCATTTTGTAATAATTGATTTATTTTTTAAATAATTTGAGTAAAATTTTTAAAAAGGTGGCAACTATTTTCAAAAAGTAAAACTTTACTGCACATCTGCAGACCAAGCCTTTGAATTTGAAACCTCATATTGGAAAATTGAACGATCGGTGCGGATTGTTTATTAAATAATTTGAATTTAATTGTTAAACAGGTGGCCACTCTTTTCGAAAAAATAAAACCTGTTTGTAAATCTACAGGCAAAGTGCTTTAATTTTACATTCCATTTTTGGCTCCGAACGGCAAATGTATTTCATGAGAAGCTTCTACAAGACAGAACTACATTCGGAGGTTTGCCATTGCCTGCCGAGGGTCGACCGCTGTTAAGAAAAAGTCCTTTTCTAACTGTTTTTTTTGAATGTAGATAAGTTAACAGCCCTAAGATTCCACCACGTACATACGTGGCGTATGAGTAACATTATTTCTCACTGATACTATTTTATAAAAATAAATCATTGTATAGACGCAGCATTTCCGACTTCAATTATTTAGATAATTTATTCCTCTATAAAAGGATATCCCTGCGATCTTGACACAATGAACGCGAATTAAACGACCAGTGATATTAGCAGCGATGCGCCAATAATTTTTGATTAAATAAAAATAGTTACTGTCAAATTGAGAGATAGAACATTTCGTTATTTTAATTGGAATAACTACCCGACCAAAACGGCAAATTCATAATTTATCCCTAATGGAATTGTTTCGACTTCATGTGCTAAATTGACTAGTCTATTAATTCTAATGCTCTTTAAAAGTAGAAGACAAAATTATCAAAACTATTTACAAGATTATATTTACTCTTATTCACAAGCAATTTTTACTTATTTTTATTATTGTTTATGTATTATATGCAACATCTAGATCGAAAACGGTCGAAATTTGTTCTATAGGCGTGTAAGCGCATGCAAAGTATGTTCCAGCACAGTCTCCGCCACTTCGGCCCAGGCGCTCGGCATGTCCATATGCTCGGTCGTTAGGATGAACCAATTCATCATGCGAACGGGAAGGCCTGTTCGTAACAAAAAAAATATATTTAGTTTTGAAAAAAATAAAATAAAAGTCAAAAACAAAAAAATAGTTTAAAATAAAAAAATATAAAAATAAAATGAGATAAAAAATTCAAAATAAAATAACATTTAATTAAGTACAGGTAAGTGCGATACTAACTTATCACCTTTTAAATATTAAAGTTTTTTTTTCGGCTAAAAACGGTTTAATTTCATTTCGATCGATACTTTTATTCCAATATTTTCCAAAAGTTTTTCATGTCCGTTTAAATTCCAAATTAACTCAGGAGCGTAAAGAGAATATAGAAAAATATAGATTTTCAAGGATTATACACCATTTCCACGAAAAATTGTTTTTCCTCGTATAAAATACACGGAAATCTTTGAGCGTTTTGAGAGACCTCTACACATTTCTGGACTAAAAAAAATTTATATTTTTGCGATATAGAACAGTCCTAGGGGGTGGGAGCATTACGATACCGACTTTACTTTATTTGAAACACCCTAATGTACATACCTTTTATAGATAAATATGTTAACACATAGCAGTTTCTTACGTTAATATAATATGCAGTATCTCTGATAAAATCCCACTTTCATAGTGAAATGGCAACGCCGCGTGCTCACAAATGCTGCGTAGCATACACTCGCGTCCCGAAAGACCGGCACTACGTGCAAATAAAAAAAAAAGAACACAAATTTAGTAAATAAATAAATGGTAAAAAATAAAAAAAAAATATCACACGCACCGATTCATCAGAGTTTCCATGCCTTTGTAGATAATCCAACGATAAGCAGATGCCGTCTTCTGTTTACCCTGCAAATTAGTACCAAAACTCTCGTGCCGCCGACCCAGTATACCAGACTGATGATGCTTCGCACCGACATTATATGCATGCGCAGTTGTATAATTGTGCTGAACAATATCTCTAAAGCTGCGTCGATTTACATTTTGTGGCGTCAGATATTGTGGTCTCATTTCTTCTGCCTTGGTAGGCAGAAAATATTCAGCTTTTAATACGTAGCCAGAAGTGACCGATTCATAGAGTAAATCTTCAACGGGTATACCAATACCGCCAATGAACTAAGTTGAAAATGAAATTTGCACACAATGCAGATATGTACGAGGGTACATATGTATATACATATGTACACATACATACATTCATAAAAATTTATGTAAGAATTTGTAGTTTTAGATCACAAAACTACTTTTGTTACCACTTAAAACGTTATTGGTTTAGTTAATTTTTTGTTAGGAATATGTGGTTTTGCTTTGTGTTAGGCATTAAAGTGTGTTAAAATATGTAGGCAGTATTTATTTTTGCGTGGTTGTGTGTATATAATTGTGTATGTATGTTTGTTAAAAATTTTTAAACGGTTATTTTATTTAGCATCTACCGAGTTTAGCGAAATAACGAACTGATAACCTCCTCCGTTTTTGGAAGTCGATTAAAAATATGAAACAGCCTCTAAAAATTGAAAAATGGTGCTTCTGTCGCATAAATGGTGCAAAAATA